CTGTTCAAATATAAAATTAAATGAATTGCTAATTACTACATTGAAATAAAAATGTAAAGCCTGTACAAATATTAGAAATCGTGAATATAAATAATTGGGAATCATGTAAAAAATTAAAATAAAATAAAAACAGGCAACATTTGATTTATCTATTATAACGTTTATGTAGTTTTGTTCACTTGGCTGTTTCCTTATAAAGTCCAACATTTTGTCAAGTTTTTCGTCAGGTGTCTTTTTTAATTATATGACGTCATTACGTTAGATGTAATAAGCAATGTACGAAGAACGGGCCCCAGGACTGCAGTAACGTAAACATGTAAATATAAATGACTTTGATACCTGCACTGCAGTAACGTAAACATGTAAATATAAATGACTTTGATACCTGCACTGCAGTAACGTAAACATGTAAATATAAATGACTTTGATACCTGCACTGCAGTAACGTAAACATGTAAATATAAATGACTTTGATACCTGCACTGCAGTAACGTAAACATGTAAATATAAATGACTTTGATACCTGCACTGCAGTAACGTAAACATGTAAATATAAATGACTTTGATACCTGCACTGCAGTAACGTAAACATGTAAATATAAATGACTTTGATACCTGCACTGCAGTAACGTAAACATGTAAATATAAATGACTTTGATACCTGCACTGCAGTAACGTAAACATGTAAATATAAATGACTTTGATACCTGCACTGCAGTAACGTAAACATGTAAATATAAATGACTTTGATACCTGCACTGCAGTAACGTAAACATGTAAATATAAATGACTTTGATACCTGCACTGCAGTAACGTAAACATGTAAATATAAATGACTTTGATACCTGCACTGCAGTAACGTAAACATGTAAATATAAATGACTTTGATACCTGCACTGCAGTAACGTAAACATGTAAATATAAATGACTTTGATACCTGCACTGCAGTAACGTAAACATGTAAATATAAATGACTTTGATACCTGCACTGCAGTAACGTAAACATGTAAATATAAATGACTTTTGATACCTGCACTGCAGTAACGTAAACATGCAAATATAAATGACTTTTGATACCTGCACTGCAGTAACGTAAATATAAATGACTTTGTTACCTGGACTGCAGTAACGTAAACATGCAAATATAAATGACTTTTGATACCTGCACTGCAGTAACGTAAATATAAATGACTTTGTTACCTGGACTGCAGTAACGTAAACATGCAAATATAAATGACTTTTGATACCTGCACTGCAGTAACGTAAACATGCAAATATAAATGACTTTTGATACCTGGACTGCAGTAACGTAAATATAAATGATTTTGATACCTGCACTGCAGTAACATAAACATGTAAATATAAATGACTTTGATACCTGCACTGCAGTAACGTAAACATGCAAATATAAATGACTTTTGATACCTGCACTGCAGTAACGTAAACATGTAAATATAAATGACTTTGATACCTGGACTGCAGTAATGTAAACATGTAAATATAAATGACTTTGATACCTGGACTGCAGTAATGTAAACATGTAAATATAAATGACTTTGATACCTGGACTGCAGTAATGTAAACATGTAAATATAAATGACTTTGATACCTGGACTGCAGTAATGTAAACATGTAAATATAAATGACTTTGATACCTGGACTGCAGTAATGTAAACATGTAAATATAAATGACTTTGATACCTGGACTGCAGTAATGTAAACATGTAAATATAAATGACTTTGATACCTGGACTGCAGTAATGTAAACATGTAAATATAAATGACTTTGATACCTGGACTGCAGTAATGTAAACATGTAAATATAAATGACTTTGATACCTGCACTATGGTAATGCAAACATATAAATATAACATGTATGTATAAGTAACTTTGATAAAGTGTTAAACATTTCCTTTACAACATTGTTGTGTATATACAAAAAACTATGTTCGCTATGGATAAACAAGCACACAGATGTTTCAAGGCTGTAACCCAGGGGTGCCCAAACTCGGTCCTGGAGGGCCGGTGTCCTGCAGAGTTTAGCTCCAACTTGCCTCAACACACCTGCCTTTAAGTTTCTAGTATGCCTAGTGAGAGCTTGATTATCTGGTTCAGGTGTGTTTAATTGGGGTTGGAGCTAAACTCTTCTGGAAACCGGCCCTCCAGGACCGAGTTTGGACACCCCTGCTGTAACCAACAAGTGGCTGATGTGGCGGCGATGGGGCATCTTGATGGTGAGTAATGTTGCAGGTTCTTTCTGCTGGTATGACAACATACTCCCAGCCTAAACATTTCCAAAGGCAGAATCCACCAATGAATTCTCACTGAACATCCTGATTGTGGTGACCAAAGTGGATGTAGTGCTGACAAAGTCCTAATACAGCTCGGCCACTGAGAGGTCAGGCAGCTCATGGTGACACCTCTGTAAAGGGTACTCCTGAAATAAAAAATAAAAAAAGTATTAAAGTAAATTCCCTCATTTATAATCTGTACTCTGACCTTTGATATTTTACATTATATTCATCTTCCTTAGTATGTTTGAATTATTTGACCTAAGTGGATGTCATACCATTTTTTGTATGGTTAGAAAATAAACAGTGCTCATAATGCTCTCAAATGCCCCTTAAAATCAATTTCAGGCAAATACGGCTCTATAATTTTAAAATGAAAAAAGGTTAATTTTTGACACTGGTAGTGGGACAGTCCATTTGTTATATGCCTGATCATATAACAGTATATATATATATATATATATATATATATATATATATATTTATTTATATGTATTTACTAATTATAGTAGGTAAATTCAGCAGTCAATTTTTTTTTGTAAATAATGACTATTGTCCACAGTAAATACAGTGCAGTTAATGCTGTATTATCACCATTCATCCAGAAATCCTATGTATCACCTGGAGCAGAGGTTGTGTTCTGTTGTCTCATCTATAATCTTTCTGACTAAGCCAATAAAAATAATTTGAACTAAAAGCATGTATGCATGTATTTATATATTACATTATCTCTTAATCACGTTTATTTTAAAAGGATTTGATAATGTACTTAAACTTACCATTGTTCTAGGTTTGTGCCAGCTCTGTTCTCTTTCAAGACAGCTATGAACAGGAGGAACTTCACTGATGCCAAGCTGCGAGTGTTGTGCTGTCTGGTACAGTAGTGCAGCATTATTGCGGTCACACAAGTGCTGTCCCAGCATCACAGGAACAACTGCTGTGGGACAGTAATACAGGGAGGGAGTCATTTAACAGTGTTAAAATAATTAAACTATAACAAAAGTCATGTATTCATATTCTATTTAAATATTTGTTAAATATTTAAGTAGAAATTTAATTAGAAATGTGTTGAATATAAAATATCGTTTAATATTTAAATATTATATTTACATACCCATATACTGTAAGGAGTACTATACCCACATTTAAAATCTTAAGCTCTACGAACCTTTTTAAGGAATAGTTTCACTATGCCTGTCTTTGTACAGAAACCTCAAAAATGGTTGTATAAAACGAGCATTTAATTCAGACTTTAAGCTAATATCATGCCTTCCTCACTTCCTCATTGGGAAATTATTCAGTTAACATTCATAGTCCAAAAATTGTAAACGTTGCATAAACAAGCACATCAGTCAAAATGAATACAATACAAGTAAACACGTTATCTCGATAGATTAAAACAAAAGAAAAGACCTGTATGAACTGTAAGAAACTGTGACTTTAGCTAGGTTCACTAGTTACTACACTATAGCATGAGAATACTCACCTTCAAAGTGTCAACGTAACTCGAAACTTCTCCGTCTTGCTGTAAGGAGTGACAGCTGACTGCCTTACAATGTGATAAACATCTTGCACAGTAATTCGGGAATACTCTTTTAAAAAGCGAGTGTAAAATATCAACTTCTCCCGCGATGTCTTCACAGATAACATCAATAGCAAAAACGGCTTCTGGTGCTGCACCGTATGTAACTGAGCTGGCTGAGGCAATATGTTAATTGGGGTTGGAGCTAAACTCTTCTGGACACCGGCCCTCCAGGACCGAGTTTGGACACCCCTGCTGTAACCAACAAGTGGCTGATGTGGTGGCGATGGGGCATCTTGATGGTGAGTAATGTTGCAGGTTCTTTCTGCTGGTATGACAACATACTCCCAGCCTAAACATTTCCAAAGGCAGAATCCACCAATCTTCTACAAATACTTCAGCTAAAATAATGTTGTTTTTTTTTAAAGTTAATACTTGTTCAAAACAATCACTTTAACAACGTTTGCACTATCTTCTGCTTATTTTGAAAAATACATTTTTTTTTTCAATAATATACTGTCATTAAAATGTTAATATAAAAAATATATATTAAAATACAGAAACAAAATCATTTTAATAAGTAAAGATTCTGAATGTATTGAAGGAGATCCAATAATAATTGAATATATGTTTACAGTAGTAACAACAAATGATATTTTATTATATGATATGATTAATATCATGTTTTTAAATATGGTTTCATTCTAAATATGGTGGTTATCTCTAATATGGACACCCAGCATAATATATGATATTTACCATCTGAATCTAACCATGTCATGTCAACAAATGGAAAAGTCAGCCATCTATTAATTATCATGTTTATCATGTTATTCTTTTAGCCCCGACAGCAGGGGCGCTTTTTACCCCAAATACCATACTTTTACATATTCCATATTCTTTTAAAAACGGTTGCTTTAATTATCTTAAACAAAACTGAAAATCATAAAGAAGCCCTTTGTCTCAAAATATAAGCATTAATTTTAGTGATTCTCATTTGCTACTTAAATCTACAACATTTTTAAAAACATAAAATATTAGATCAAGTAAGCACAGAATCAACTTTGCACTGCTGCTCACGATCGCGTCAAGGATCAGACAAATATACACGTGCATCTTGCAAAGCTGATGTTTTGGAAAGTGCTACGCCACATTTTTGTGCCATCTAGTGGTTTAGAGGTTAAAGCTTTAAATAGGATTTTTATACCATATCAAAATTCTTGATGCACTGAAATTTCATAATTTTTGTTACCAATTTCAATATCA